CGTCCTGACGAAATTAATCAAGAAAACTTTTTAAATTGGGACCCGCATTTCTTAAAAAATAGAAGGCCCGTACGCTTTTCAGGTTTCTTTCATGCATTATTCTAAGGAAAATTGGAATTAGGTTGTGGACTCTTCGAATACACCAAGATAAAAGCAGAAACAATACGGCCTGTGCCTTGTTAACAATTTTGGGGGGTCTTCTGAAACTTTCTTTTTTTTAAAGTTTCGTCACTGTGTTGATTACGAGGTTTGTATATTAACATTGCTCTCACAAATCATCCCCTTCCCACCGGCGCCCCTTCCTCCGTCCCTCCTTTCTCTCTCTCTCTCTCTCTCTCTCTCTCTCTCTCTCTCTCTCTCTCTCTCTCTCTCTCTCTCTCTCTCTCTCTCTCTCTCTCTCTCTCTCTCTCTCTTTCTCCACTCACTCTCTTTCTCTTTTCTCCCCTTCCATATCTCTCTTACTCTCTATTTTCTGTCAATTTTGGTCTGTCTGTCTGTCTGTCTGTCTGTCTGTCTGTCTGTCTGTCTGTCTGTCTGTCTGTCTGTCTGTCTGTCTGTCTGTCTGTTTGTCTGTCTCTCTGTCTTGTCTGTCTGTCTGTCTGTCTGTCTGTCTGTCTGTCTGTCTGTCTGTCTGTCTGTCTGTCTGTCTGTCTGTCTCTTTCTCCCCCCCCCTCTCTCTCTCTCTCTCTCTCACACACACACACACTCACACAGAAACACAGATACACACACACACACACATACAAACACGCATACAATTATATGCGCACACACAAACAAACAAACAATTACACACACACAATCGCACGCACGCGCGCATATAAACACACGCACACACATAAAGACGTATGCCATAATGTTTAGATAAAGTGAAAATACAAAAAACAACAACAACACACTAGCATAATAGTCAAACATTCAGACAAGTTCACATACACACTATCGAAACATTTAGCACGTGAAAAAGCAAACTTTCCGAATAAAGCAGTTCGTCAATACATTGCTGAGTACAACATCAACAACATAAAAAATAACATCAGTATCTTCATCATCAACAACAACAACAACAACAAAAATAATACAACAAGAACAGCAGCAACAATACTAACAACAACAGCAGCAGCAGCAGCAGCAGCAGCAGGAGCAGCAGCAGCAGCAGCAGCAGCAGCAGCAGCAGCAGCAACAGTAGCACCAGCAACACAATTAAGTGCGCCGTTCAAGAATTGACACCTATGTTTATTAAGTAACATACCTTTGACAAACAGCAAAAACAGAGTTCCAATTATTGCGACATGTTATGGTGCAATGATAGCTCTCATATAAAGGATAAGGAGCCGTGTCACAAAGCCCTCATGTTATTATTATGTTGCTTCAAGACAGACAGATGAATGACGCCTGAAGCTAAAAGTGAAAAAAATAGCCACGACACCTGTCAGACGTATGTTCATTTTCCAGGCAAGGCATCCAATCAGTTTGGAATGAAAAGAAAGCGACAAAACAATGCTAAGGTAAACAACAATAACACGGTAATTTGAAGCTATGGAAATAGACAGGACACCTCAAAAGGCTGATACAGAGGTGTATGGTGGAGTGGAGAAACACGGTTGGATTCTTGGGTTGTCAGTGGGGATAGCATGCGATAACAACTGGGTTTTGTTTTGTTTTGTTTTGTTTTGTTTTTGTTTTTCCAGAGAGGAAATAATTACAAGAGTTTTTTTAAGAATGTGGAAGAAGGAGTGGAATAGGGTCGAGTTGGGGGCAATTTCAGAGGTTAGCTCCAATACGGGAGATCGAAGAGGCAGATGAGTCAAAAGGGGAGAAGGAAAGAGCGAGAGATGGATGTGGATCGGGACAGGATGAGAGGGAGATAATGATAGAAAGATAAATAGATAGATAGATAGATAGATAGATAGATAGATAGATAGATAGATAGATAGATAGAGAGAAAGAGAGAGAGAGAGAGAGAGAGAGAGAGAGAGAGAACTAGCTGGGGGAGGGTGGGGGGCAGTAAGCGCGTATGGATGGATGTACGTGTGAGCGTGTATGCGAGAAAGAGAGAGAAAGAGAAGGAAGGAGAAAGAGAGAGAGAAAGAGAGACAGAGAGAGAGATAAAGAGAGAGAGAGAGAGAGGAGAGAGAGAGAGAGAGAGAGAGAGAGAGAGAGAGAGAGAGAGGCGAATACTTGAATTTTCTATTGCTTTTTCGAAGCGTCTTTCAGGGCTGCAGGGCGATAAAATGGATGTTTACTTGGATGAACCTGTGAGGTGTAAATGTCTCAGCGCCAAAAAGGCATTACACTTGGACATGACACGAAGGGTGCAATATTCCAAACATTCCAAGCACTGGAGTAAACTTATTAACAGCGATGAACATTTGCGTGTTGCGAGACAGAGTCATAAACCTTCCAAACAATTCTTAAAATTTGATAAGGTTCAAATTCTGATGCCATTTGAGACATTCCGCCTGCCTCTGAGTTGAAAGGGTCGGTTTGCTGAACACACAGTACAGACTTTATTCTTTTCGTCTTTCTGGATTGATTTACCCTATTGCAAGTGCATCGCTTTTGGCCTTGGAAT